GTGGGATGTATTCAAGCTTGTACTTTGGCTCTCATGGACCTGCTTTGATTTTCTTCAGCTTCACCTTGAATGTGCACATGATCCACTGATAGACTGTTGCATCCTAGCTTTGTCTTGATTGATGATATTGAGTCTCTCCATTGTTTCTTTCCACAGATGTGTCAATTACATTCCAGCAAGGTCCATGTGCATAGTCGTCAACTGTGTTGTTGAAAAAAAGTATTTCTGATGAATAAGTTGTTATTTTTGCAGAATTCTATGCAATATCTGGTGTTGTTTCTATCACTAAGGCTGTTTTTTCAACTACTCAACTTTGTTTCCAACTACCACATTTCAATCACCAGTAATTTATCAATGCATCTTGATTGCACATTTAACCAATTTCTGACTGTAACAGGTGATAAACATCTTCAATTTCTTCACCTTTGGTATTTGTGGTTGGTGTGTAAATTTGTACAATAGTTGTATTAAATAGTCTTCCTATTAACCTATCACTGATCACTTTGTACTTCAGGATAGATCTCAAAATGTTCTTTTTAACTATTAATGCAATACTGTTCCTCTTTAATTTGTTGTTCCTGGATAGTAAACTATATGATTGCCGGATTCAAAATAGCTGATACCAGTCCATTTTAGCTCTCTAACGGCTAGGGTACTGATTTTCAAGGGTTCTATTTCATTTTTGATTACTTACAATTTTTCTTAATTCATACTTCATACCTTTCACATTCTGATTGGTAATGGATATTTGTAGCTGTTATGTCTTATTTTGAGTAGTGCCCCATCAGTAAACGAAGGTCCCAAGGGCTCTACTCCATTTACGTCATTGTTTTAGTCATCTAGTGCTCCTACAACAGAAATACCACAAGTGGATGGTTTTAATGAAGAGAAGTTTATTTCCTCATAGTCAAAGTAGGCTAAAATTCCAAATTCAGGGCATCAGCTCCAGCGGAAGGCTTTTTCTCTCAGTCAGCCTTCTTCTCTTCAGTGTTCCCCCGGACTAGGAGCTTCTCTGCGCAGGGACCCCGGTCCAAAGACGTGCTCTGCTCCTGGCACTGGTTTCTTGATGGTTTGAGGTCCCCCTGTCTCTCTGCTCACTTCTGTCTTTTATATCTCAAGAGATTGCCTCAGGACACAATCCAGTCTTGTAGATCCAGTCCTGCCTTACTAACACAACTGCCACCCATCCTCCCTCATTAACATCATAGAGGCAGGTTTACAACATACAGGAAAATCACACAGTACCAGGAATCATGGCCTAGCCAAACTGATACACACATTTTTTGGGGGACATAAATTCAAACCATGACAGTCATTAAGGTTGAATCTACTTTGAGGCGGCAGTAGATTTGCGTGCCTTCCAACCTGAGAAAACTTTTCTTCCAGCACTATATTGGACAATCCTAAGGTTTTGATTGGCAGATTTTTGGTAGTAGTACACCTGGCCTCGCTTCCTAGTTTGTTTCAGTCTGGAAGGTCTACTGATACCTGTCTACCATGGGTGACCTGGATGGTACTTGAAATACCAGTAGTATAGCTTCCAGCACCACAGCAACATGCAAGCCACCACAACATAACAAACTGACAGATGGATGATCTAATAATCTACTATTTGTATTAGCAGATAGAGTAAAACCTTCAAAAGCCAGAACCTGTGTAAGGCGGAAACCTACCAGAGAAGAAAAAGTCATATATTTTCCACCCCAACAAGCAATAGAAAAATGGTAGAACTGTGCCCTCTCAAAAGCAGAAAACTTTCGAGACCTGGAAGAACAAGGAAGTCCTGTCAAGTTCTGGCTCTCACAAGTTTCACTGTCTGTAGCTGCAGTTATGAATCAATGGAAATTAATGTGCACTTATCCAAAATTAATAGATTATTACTTCAGAAAGATGATCAGGAGAACAAAAAAAACAACTCAATAACCCAGAGAACGGAATGTGTTATACAGAACGGTGATGCAGTAGTACAGAAACAATTTCTGGAAGTGCCATATAGACACAGACACCTGTCAAAGAATTCACTGTGCAGAGAGGTGGTTAGCAACAGGAGAAGCCAATAATGGTCAATGCACTACATGCGCAGCCACCGTTTGTCAGTAAATGCTTGCATGTTGCATGATGCTGAACAGGTTTCAGTGGAGCTTCCAGACTAAGATGGACTAGGAAGAAAGAGCTGGCTATCTACTTCTGAAAATCAGATAATGAAAACCCAGTGGATCACAACAGTCCAATCTGCAACAGATTACAGGGATGGCACGGGACAGGACAGCATTTTTTCTTTTGGGCATATGGTTGCCGTGAGTCTGAGGTCAACTCCATGGCAGCTAACAATAATGGCCAGAGAAAAACAGGTTAACACCAGAACTGGAATCAACAATGAACAGGTGAATATTATACAAAATTCAGTTTTAAAAAAAGATGGGAGACAAATCAGCTTTCATAGATTAACTGAAGAATGTAATTTCCAGAACTATAGAAATTTTTTGGAAAACACAGTTGTTATAAGGAACAGTGGTGAGGAACTACACGTAGTGAAAGAAATTGGCTAAGTTTCCTATAAAATACAAGGTATTTCAATATTAGTTTGATATACCAAGATGTATATATAATGACTCTAGACAGGAAGAATAATTATTAGAATAAAGTATTTGTGACATAAATAAAAACTCAGTGAAATCTAAATAAGTTGTATTTAGAAAACTTAAAACATACTATAGAAAAAAAAGTATGTTATATAATAAATTATGACAAATCAATTTAATTGTTCTTCTTACAGATTAAAACAGTAACTAAATACAAAAAGTATTGTGGTGGACTGAATTGCATACCCCAAAAATGTGTTATAAATCTTAACCCTTATACCTGTGGTTATAATCCCATTTGGGAATATATTTTCCTTGTTATGTTAATGAGGCAATATTAGCATAAGGTGTATCTTAAGTTAATCTCTTCTCACATATAAAAGAGTGGGTTAAGCAAGCAGCAAGAAAACAGAGATGAGGAAGATACAAGCCACATAATCATCAAGGAACCTAGGAATGGAAGCTGAAAGGAAAAAGGACCTTCCTCCAGAACGGACAGAGAGACTTCCCCTACAGCTGGTGACCAGAATTTGGACTTCTAGCCCTCTAAAGGAGCCCTGGTGGTGCAGTGGTTAAGCGCTTACCTGGTAACTGAAAGGTCAGCAGTTCGCTCTTTGGGAGAAAGATGTGGCAGTCAGCTTCTGTAAAGATTTACAGCGTTGGAAACCCTATGGGGCAGTTCTACGCTGTCCTATAGGGTCGCTATGAATCGGAATCAACTCGAGAGCAGTAGGTAGTAGTAACCTCCTAAATTTTGAGAAAATAAATTTGTTTGTTAAAGCCACCTACTTGTGGTATTTCTGTTACAGCAGCACTAGATAACTAAGACAAGTATATTCTCAAAATATCCAAAATTCTCAAGTTAAAAAATCCAATTAATTTGGAAAAGTATATTTTAATAGCAGATACTAAGTCAGATGAAACAAAGTAAAAGGATTAACTATGTTTTCACAAAATCTGGAGGTTGTATAGGTTTTGGGGAAATGGTGGATGAGACATAACTCTCAACATTCAAAAAGAATTTTTTCTTGTAAAATACATAATACTAATTCTTCAATCCCAACAGAAGTTGTCCATCACTTAAAGGTTAGGTTGACAGCAAAAGGAGGGTGAAAATTTCACACTCTAGTAATGTGTATTTTAAAACCAAGTTTTGGAAGCAAAATCACACAAACTTAGGATAACGTGAAATCAGGAAGAGTCAAGGTTTTTCTCCCATCCCAAGACTAGGTAGAGAGCTGCAAGAGGGAGAAAAAGAAAAGACATAGGAAGGAGTAAATTAGAAGAGTCAGCATTTGTGTGGTCCTTGAGAAGTGACTGTGTGCTCTGCCCACAAAACTCAGGTTAAGCGCCTGAAAGACTGAGATATGGTCACCATATAAGATGGGATTCAAAAAGAGAACCTCTGACTACTGTCTTCACAATACTGCCAAGAAACAATCTTAGACGAACCAAGCCACCCCCGTTATATGAAGTATACAAAAGCAGAAAAGAAGAAATAGCCAAGGGGCCTAAACAGGCAGAAAGGACTCAAGACAGCTCCATGCAGCTTCCCAGGGACCCAGATGCAATGGAAGAGCAGCCAACATTTTCCCATTCCATGAGAAGGCCATCTAAGCACGTGAATGAGAATGGAACCTGTATGGGTCCCGAGGTCAACAGTATGGAGATCTCAGACCTGTATGAAGTGAGAACTGAGGATTAGATGGAATCCAGTACAAAAGGAGAAACCAAGGGGCAAGAGGACCCCTTTGAAACAGCCCTCCCTGTCCCTCTCAAAGCCAAGACACCAAAGAGCTTAAAGGAACTAGACAATGATGTAACATAGGTCATGATAAAGATTTTGCCTCTGTCTTTGCTTGACCTAGACCACCAATGGAAGATGGGAGTATAAACTTTAACATGTGCTGTCTTAGTTATCTAGTGCTGTTGTAAAAGAAACACCACAAGTAGATGGCTTTTACAAATGGAAATTTACTTTCTCATAGTTTAGGAGGCTACAAGTCTGAATTCAGAGCATTGGCTCTAGGGGAAGGCTTTCTGTCAGCTCTAGGGGAATGTCCTTGCCTGTTCTGAGCTTCTGCTCCTGGGTGATCTTCATGTGGCTTGGCATCTCTTTTTCTCCATGTCAGCTAGATCACTTTCTTGTTTTAATCTCTTTTATATCTCAAAAGAGACTGACTTAAAACACACCCTACAATAATACTGTCTTATTAACATAACAAAGACAACTCATTCCCATATGGGATTATAACCCAGGCATAGAGATTGAATTACAACACATATTTTGGGGGGACACAATTCAATCCATAACATGTGTAAAGAGGAGTGATAATGGGGGTTGGGGTGGGGGATGACAATATTTCCTTTGGCAGCTCACAAGAAATCAACTTTTGTTTTCCCACAGACCTCTCCCATTTGGGGAAGAGTTCCCAAACATATTTAATGGTGTGACTTCCTGTCAGCTCATCTGAGCTTTTATCTGTGTTCAACTCTTGATACATTCCCACCTACCCAGGTTTTTTGCTATTTTCACCTTGATCTCCACAGTCCAGGGCTCTGCCCCTTGCTCCAAAATGGAAATTAGATTCAGCTCAGGAATTGAGATTCCTGCTTATAAGAAAAAAGGAACATGATGTGCTATGAGTTTTTCAGAATATAATCCAAGCCGTTTGTTCAGGTGAGAACAGATAACATTACTGATGGGTCTAGGCAAATATTTAAAAAATTCACCTGATTGCCGCCGCCTCCTTAATGCCTAGGGAATATTTTTAATATGTAGATATCTAGCTGTCTTCCAGGAACTACTGAATAAAAAGCATAGAAGTAAAACCAGAGAACTGGATACTTTAAATGTTAGTCATTAGGTTTTGTGCTTAGTCAAGCTCTGGAACCAGTACTGCTCTAGCTTGAAGTGGGCATAACATTTGAAGAATAGTGAAGGTTCAAATCCAGATGCCACATTATTGAAGTGTTTGATTTCTAAATCGACTTCAATCTCTGTTTTAAGAACAGGGATCTGAAACTCCATCAAGCAAGGCAGGGACTTCCAAGAGACTCACAAGGGAAAATACAAAGATGCACAAGGGCAGATCCTGACTTCTGGAGGGAAGTTATCCTCACCCAGGGAGACCAGGTTTCTGTAGTTCTCCAACATCACATCTTTGTACAAAGCCTTCTGAGCAGGGTCCAGACAATCCCACTCCTCCTGAGAGAATTCTATGGCCACATCTCTGAATGTCAACAGTCCCTGCGATGAAAAACACACCTCACCAAGGGGCAATATGGGAAGAGTTCTTATCTTCATGTAAAATGAGAGATGGAAAGAGATACTGAGGATCAATTTGACTAAAGGGAATGTTTTCACAGAGTAAAGTAAGATAATTTTGGGCAAGTTATATGTCCCTAATTTTGTTTTATTATACTTTTCCATTACAGGATATCACATCCATTAAATCACTGTGTTTCATTTTTGTGGACAATACAAGACATATACAAATGAAAAAAATTCCCACAGTGTTGTCTATGTAGATGTGCTAGATGATATATTCTGTATACCAGGTGACATTCAGTTTCTCAGATGAGCTAGAGCAGGAGTATCTTAAGATATGAAAATGTCCATCATGGCTTTAAAGCAGGTCAGAATCAAAAAATTGTGATGATGTTGTAATTGTAAAGACTAAAAATTTTTGGACACTTACTATGTGCTACACATTCTAAAGGCTTGACATGTATTAACTCAAATAACAACACAGTAATCTCAGAGAAAGATCTGTTCCCATCTTACAGAGGAGAAAACTGTCACAAAGACTCTAAGAAACTTGCCACAGGTCTAACAGCTAGTAACTGGCAGAGCCAGCACCTGAACCCAGGTGGTTGGGTTTTACAACAGAATCTAAAATCAAACAGTTAAGTAACAGATACAGCATTAAAAGGATGTTGACAGGGATTCCAAACAGAAAACATGAAACAAATCAAAGGTCAACAACATGGAACTGGATTAAAGGTTATCCACACATATGATACATGTAATTCATTAGTATTCTCAGTACTATTCACTCATTAACCTTATAGTATAGGAAAATTTAAAGTCATTGAAAATATTTAAGACAAATTTTGAAAGGTTAATATAAATAACTTATGAAATAACACTGTGTTTTTTATAAAAACCATGGACTTGCGCCTACATGCACATGCATAAACACATACACACATACTTTAATTAACTGAAATTATAGTAATCTCTGAATTTTTGGGGATGAATTTTCAGTATTGTTTTACACGTGTGTATTTCAGTATTTTTGGTACAAAGAAAACATATAAATTTTACTTAATTTAGTTTGAAAACATGCAATATTAGGTTAGTAAAAAAAACTTTATAGAAATGAAAAAAAATTTTAGAAAATTTTTTTAACACCAAGTTCCATGAAATACATATATGTAAAAATATAAGTACAACTTTACCCATCTAAATTTAGATATTTAGCTATTAACAAAAGCAGAATGGAGTTTTGCCACTAATAAGCCAGTGATTCAAGATTAGAAATTTTATTAATGTTACACATTCATATAATGGATTACAACAGAAAAAAAATGTATCACAGTAAATCCTTGAAGAAATTATTGAATAATTCAAAATCTTGCCAAATAGAACATTACAAATAAAAACAAACTGAAAACCTGTTATTAAGCAAGAAACTTTCAGCAAACATCATGATCAGCAGTCAACACTGGAAGCGTTTCCACTAAAGGAAACGCTGAAGCAAGGGGGCTGGCCAGGGCTCCTACCATTCATCACTGCACGGGACACCTAAGCAAGGACCAGGGAAATAGGGGAAAAGAAAGAGGGGGGAAAAAAAAAAGAGAGAGAGAGAGAATCAAAGCTGGAACTGTTATTATTCACAGACGAAATGACTGTAACCTATAAAAAGAATGTATTTTAACTAGAACTAATAATAACATACTGAAAGCAACCTATTCTCTTCAGTAGCAGTAATTACAAAACCCTCACAAACAAAAAAGAAAAACAGCCTGCGTTTCTATTAGCAAATATACTGTGACACCTATTTACAAGATATTTCCAGACCTATATGAAGAGACTCTAAAATTTTACTGAAGGGTATAACAAGGTCATCATCAAAGACTGAGGAACTCAATTCTTATTGGAACATGTGGTGACAGATACATGAGTGCAGAAATAAAGGGCAATCCATACTCCAACACTTTTGTCAAAGAAGACCCAACACAATTTTGAAAAGAAAAACAAAATGGAGGGGCCTGTCAAACTATATAAAAACCAAACCCACTGCCCTCCAGGCGATTCCGAATCATGGCGACCCCATGTGTTACAGAGTAGAACTGCTCCATAGGGCTTTTAATGGCTGTAATCTTTATGGATGCAGATCTCCAGGCTTTTCTTCTGCTGTGTGACGACGTGTGTTTCAACCACAAACCTTTAGGTTAGTAGTGAAGCATAAACCGTTTGTCACCTAGGGACCATGTCAAACTACATATGGACCTGTTATCATATATATTAATCTAACCTTTCAAACGAATGAAATAAAGTAGCTAAAACAGGATATACACAAAAAACACAAACAAAAGAGAGACAAAAACATTGTAAACAATGAAACATTAGAACTAAATGGAACATAATATTCTGTAATTGGGCAATAGGTGAGGCCTTCCAAACAAACGTATAAAAGCAAAGAGCATGCAGGAAAGAAGATTTATGCTTCACTGTAAAAACAGCATAAACTCAGACACCAAGACATATATAAAGAATTAACCTACAAGATATAAAATACCTCCTAAAATACATTAAAGAAAATGAGTAAAGTATGGAAGTCCATTTTATATCTACATGTCCACAAAATAATGCAACTTACTCACACTCTCTATTAGTTGGAAAATGGAAACACAAAGGACTGTCATATTCCCAAATGTTCAAAACATAAAAAGAACATAGTAATAAGTTTTACATAAATTATAGAGAAATCTCGTATGTTTTTGATAGGATGTTTATCAGCTTAGGGGGCAGGGAAGGGGGAAAGGGCAGCACCTTGCCAAAATCTATCAAAATATACAATGCACACTTTTTGAAGCAATAACCACTCTTCGAGTTGCCCAACGTGGAGGAACTCTGTGACATCTCCAGATAAGTTGGTGCACTCTACTGTAGCCACTATGACATTCTTTATAACAAGGAAAAGCTGTAAAAGCCCCATGCACCTTCATTATGAGAATGCTTTACTGAGGATCTAAAAGAGCAAGTTAGCTCTACATCTACTAACATGAAAACATAGGGTGTTTGACCACCATTTGTCTGTCAGTTTGTCATACTGTGGTGGCTTACGTGTTGCTGTGACGCTGGAAGCTATGCCACCAGTTTTTAATATACCAGCAGGGTCACCCTTGATGGAGAGGTTTCAGCAGAGCTTCCAGACTAAAACAGACTAGAAGAAGGACATAGCGATCTACTTCTAAAAAAACTGACCAGTGAAAATCTTATGAATAGCATCAGAACATTGTCTAATATAGAGCTGGAAGATGAGCCTCTCAGGTTGGAAGGCACTCAAAATACGACCATGGAAGAACTGCCTCCTCAAAGAAGAGTCGACCTTAATGATGCGGATGGAGTAAAGCTTTTGGGACCTTCATTTGCTGATGTGGCATGACTCAAAATGAGAAGAAACATCTACAAACACCCATTAATAATCAGAACGTGGAATGTACAAAGAATGAATCTAGGAAAACTGGAAGTTGTCAAATATGAAATGGAACGCTTGAAGATAGATATCCTAGGCATTAGTGAGCTGAAATACACGGGTATTGGCCATTTTGAATCAGAAAACCATATGGTCTACTATGCCATGAACGACACATTGAAGAGGAACAGTGTGTCGCATTTATTGTCCAAAAAGGAGATCTGGAGATCTATCCTGAAGTACAATGATGTCAGTGATAGGATAATACCCATATGCCTATAAAGAAGACCAATTAATAAAACTATTATTCAAATTTATCCACCAACCACTAATGCCGAAACTGAATTATTTTCACCAACTTCTGCAGTCTGAAATTGATCAAACATGCAATCAAGATGCATTGATAATCACTGGTGACTGGAATGTGTAAGTCTGAAAGAAAGAAGAAGGATCAGTAGTTGGAAAATATGGTTTTGGAGATAGAAAGGAGGCCAGAGATTACATGATAGAATTTTGCAATACCAATGGCTTACTCATTGGAAATAGTCTTTTTCAGCAACATAAATGGCGACTACACACGTGGACCTTGCCAGATGGAATACACAAGCTGCATCTGTGGAAAGAGACAATGGAAAAGCTCAGTATCAGTCAGAAAAAGGCCAGGGGACCACTGTGGAAGAGACCATCAATTGCTCATATGCAAGTTTAAGATGAAGGTGAAGAAAATTTTAAAAAGTCCATATGAGCCAAACTATGACCTTGAGTATATCCCACTTGCATTTAGAGACCATCGCAAGAACAGATTTGACATACTGAACACTAAGGATCGAAGACAAGTTGCGGGATGACATCAAACCCAAGGCCATTGAGTCAATTCTGACTCATAGCAACCCGATAGGTTTCCAAGGCTATAAACTTTAAGGAAGCAGACTGCCACATTTTTCTCCTGCGGAGCTGCGGGTGGTTTCGAACAGGCAACCTTTAGGTTAGCAGTTGAGAGATGACATCAAGGACATCATAAAGGAAGAAAGCAAAAAGTCATTAAAAAGACAAGGAAGAAGGAAAAGACCAAAATGGATGCCAGAAGACTCAGAAACTTGCTCTGGAACGTAGAGTAGCTAAAGTGAATGGAAGAAATGATGAAGTAAAAGAGCTGAAACAGAAGATTTCAAAGGGCAGCTCGAGAAGAGAAAGTAAAGTATTATAATGAAATCTGCAAACACCTGGAGTTAGAAAACCAAAAGGGAAGAACATGCTTGGCATTTCACAAGCTGAAAAAACTGAAGAAAAAGTTAAGCCTCAAGTTGCAATACTGAAGGATTCTATGTGTGAAATACTGAACATAAGAAACATCAAAAGAAGATGGAAGAAATACACAGACTCACTATACGAAAAAGAATTGGTCGATGTTCAACCATTTCAGGAGGTAGCATATGACTAAGAACTTATGGTATTGAAGGAAAAAGTCCAAGCTACGCTGAAAGCATTGGTGAAAAACAAGGCTCTTGGGATTAACAGAATACCAATTGAGATGTTTCAACAAACAGATGCAATACTAGAAGCGCTGACTCCTCTGTGCCAAGAAATTTGAAGATAGCTA